TACGCACATTGTTGGAGAAATTATTCACTGCTTGTAGCTAAAACGTTTCACAAACAACAGTTTAAAATCATACAATTCCCGAACACACCAGAAATTGCTTAATAAAACACGATTTCCATATTACCTCTGCACAAGTTCTCAAGTTTAGCTCATCCCTGCAGCCAAAATTGAACGTTTCAAAACAGTAGGTGAAAATAATTAACATATAAAGTATTGTCATAATTTAAAAAAATCGTATGTATCATCTCAAAATAATCATAAACACATTTTTTGTTGTTTTGTTTGGAAGAAAAAAGTTTACAAAAAGAATCTGAGGCAAACAGGGGTTTACATTGCGTATGTCATTGGTTAGATAGGTTTTTGTGCTTTTGTTCATTGGCAAACCTGCCCAGCGGAAAACACCTCTTTTAGTAAATCTGCCCCTTATTAAATAAAATAACTTAGACATTAGCACAAGCCATTCAACATTCATCAGTTCCAGGATCATAATTGCACATTTACTTACTAATAAAACATTCACAAATACAAAAATGCCAAAAATATCAAGCAAATGACATCAGCATCAACAGCGTCACAGTTAGTCAACAGTTTTCTGTATTTCCTTTATTAGCACACAAAGAGGAATTACTATACAGTCAGTGAGACAAACCTTTACAAAGTTATAAAAAAGGAATGTAATACTTACTGTTAAGTGTTAGTAAACCAACATTTAGACTTTTCAAGACCACCCCAGCTAGAAGTGAATGTTAATTCATACTAAACTCCGGCTGAACTAGAAATTAGCACTATTACAGTTGTTGAAGGAACAACAGAACTGATTAGATTAGATTAATAGATTAGATGCAACTTTATTGTCAGATTACAGGTACAGAGAGAATGAAGTGATGTAAAAATTACAAGCATTAAGTAATGAGGGCTCATAGAATATGTTGGGCAGGTAATTTCTCAGTGACATAAAAAAACAGATTGAACTTGTATTCCTACCAACTGCAAAGTTCTTACATATGCTGAATACTGATTAATCTTTAAGGAAAATAATCAATGCTTTACAGACAAAACAGAAAAGATGCTACACATATAAAACAATAAGAAAATAGTCTAAACAAAATTTTGTCCTTAAAAAAGTCATCTCTGTGTAAAACAGTACATATAGTGAAGTCATACTATTACAGAATAGCTGATTAGTCAAGGCAAGCAGGTGTTTGATTTTTGTGCTACAAAAAATAACAATAAAAAAATGAAATGAAATTAAAAAAAAAGATGTGCAGAAGGAGGATGTCCTCCATTCTGTTCCCTTCAGCAGTTCAGCTGTGCATTAGCTCTTCCCATACAAAAAAGCAAGTAAATAGTATGTATCCAAAAAATATATATATAAAAATGATTTGAAAAAATCATTCTCTGTATGTTACAATGTTTCCCCAGTGACATCATTTTTATAAGCAAGCAAGTGAGAATGATCACTTTTGTGCATATTTTAAATGGCAACGTTTTCATCTTGTTTAAAAATGTACACAACACTTTAGAATGAAAAGTTTTTCCCTATTAACTTTTTTTTTGGTAAAGAAAATGGGTCTCATTCACTAACACTGCACACAATTGATCTCCTTCATGCACAAACGGGTCTAAGGTTCTGTGATACATTATAAGTTTAGAAAATGAAAGTATGTGTTTCAGTCTGTGATGGATTCATTTAATTTTTCATTGCAAGCGTGGACTGGCTAAGGCATGCGTTAAGCTATTTTACTATCATTGACTGATCCAGATAATCTTTCCTCTGAATTCCACTGTTTATCCCTATAACGGCCCAGAGGAAGATATCTGGTGCAAAACTGAATTCGGTATGGAACAGTGAAGATGAAAATCAAAATATGGATGAAAAACCACAGCACGCTCGAATGTACAGCAGAAATGTAAACAGACAGATTAATAAAAGTCTAGCTGACACATTCGTTTACAACCATCATGTGATGACAGCTGAGTACACTGTGTCCTCTGGCCATCAGGCTTCTGTAATAAGCAAAGAGAAAAAATTATTAGGGTCGAAGTTACTCTCACAATCGAAACACATGTAAACTCCTCAGGGTGAACTTTCTTCATACTTCTTAGGTAATAATATTCACTTAATTTGTCAAAGAAACTTGGTATATATGCAGTTGCCATAGAAACAAGGTAAAATTTCAGCAATGAGGCAGATTTGTGTGGTGGTTATGCTATGCTTCAGTGGTGTACATTGTCTATTTGCAGTATAGTGCATTTTTGCAGTATAGTACTGTAGAGACATGAATGATAAGATGATAGCTACATAGAACCATGTAGAACCATGAACACTCAAAGAACCCTTTGCACGATTAAAGGGTTCTTTGCAGGTTGATGAAAAATGTGCTGTAAATGAAGCCTTTTAAAAAGGGTTCAATAAAGCACCAAAAAAGGGTCCTGCTATTGTTACAGTGTCAAGCTTGACAGCAGAACCCTTTTTAGTGCTAAATAGAATACTTTTCGAAAAGGTTCTAAGGAGAACTGTCTACAACACATTCTCCATCAACCAGAAGAACCCTTTTATGATACAATGAACCCTTTAATCATGCAAAGGGTTCTTTGAGTGTTCATGGTTCTAAATAGAAACATTTCTTTGCTAAAGAACCCTTGAAGAACCATCTTTTTTTTAAGAGTTTCCAAACGCATGAACTTCAACACATTACCAGTTCCTTTGAGTTTTTTTCCAGTACTGAAAGTATGGAGATTTAAAAATGCTAAGTTCAAAGAGGTTCAGCAACTTCAGAAATCTTTCTGAAATAATTGCACATCACTGTAATGGATTTGTGATGTACTATAATTGATAATGCATAATGAATTTAGTGTTCCAGTAGTGCCAGTGGTTTTCATTTTGTGTTTGGAGCCTCTGCTGAGAATCTGGATGCAAAAAAATTGGGATAACTATATTCGAGACGTATAAAAAACAAGTTTTCCCCACTTTTTGAGTAAGCTAACATCATTCCTGGAATGGAAATGATATTGCACATAGATTTACACATAGATGCAGTGCACACAGCAACATTACGGTACATCTTACCATGTTTTGTACTATTCTTGCACAAAACATTGTATCAGCAATATGTGCTTCTTCTTCAGCTTTCTGCTTTGCTTGAACCTGAATGACAGGAAACAAATCATTTTGTTCAATACAAAGTTTGCTTTTTATAATGCTGATTGAGAACACGATGGAGGACAGTTTACAAGCATATGACTTAGAAAATAGAGATTATAAGGGCGGTTTAAAGATACATGCCTTTTTGTTTGCCTTCGCGGAATTTTTTGTATACCACGTACATAACAGCTGATACCAGTAACAGTACTAGCAGCACAGGTATCAGCCACAGATGCTGGGGGTGTTCTGTAATGGAAAAGTACAAAATCAATTAGTCTTTACCAGGGTCTCTCTTATAAAATGACACAACAAATCAAAATATTAAGGAAAAGAAAATAATGTCATTGTATTTACTAAATTCTTTCCCAAAGAAGCAAAGAGAGGTTTAATTAATTAAGTAATTTTGGAGCATTTCTGTTGGTCCATTCATCATGAAATCTCCACACCATGTAAAGGACAACCACTGAGTTCAAATTATATAGTAAAATAAAAATCAACAAAAATGGAGATACATGTTTTTTTTTTTATTGTACAACAACTATATGATGGCCTACATGCAACACAGATGTAGTTATGTTATAATTTAAGTTTGGCGGGAGGAGCATGGCTGAAACCCCTCCTTCTTCCAGTCTAACACCCTATAAATTCACATCCTTACCTTCCATTTCTGTGACAAAGTATTCATAATCCCCACCACCACCCTCCTCCCTGTTCCTCACTTCTACATCAGTCCTACTACAGCTATGAGGAGGTCTGGTCTTCTAACTACAGACAGAAGCTGCCCAGAACTCCAGCCCAAGTTCTCAGAGTTCTTCCCCCTCCCTCACTCAGTCTTCTGTACCACCACCATGTTGAAGGCATGGTCTGAACTCACAAACTTTTTGACCCACATTTCTCCTCACTTTCAGACCATCACAGGTTTTGTCTATACCAGGCCATAAAGTTTTTTTTTGGGATAAATAAAATAGTTTTAAAATCTATAGGTACAAGTATTGATATTTTATTATTTAATCATGAATTATCTAAATTAATGTTTGTCTGAGCTCACAGTGGCACTGTTTCTTTCTGGCAAGATCAAGGTTTTTGTCAGTAGAGTTAATGTTAGGAATGGTCTGATAGCGTAATGGATAAAAATACTCACTCTCCGCATGGGGGGATGGTGTTGCATTGGCTGTTTGGGCACAAAAAAACATCAGTCATATACCTACAACAGTCACTGGATGAGACGTCTGACACCTTAACACATTCGCCTGCCATTGTAACCTGCTCTGGATGAAATATTTGTTTAATATGTAAGAGAAAAAGCCTGTCTTGAATGTTGCTTTGTCTGCTTCACAAATAATAGCGTATTCCAAATATGTAAATGTAAGAACAATGTTTTTGTAATGTTCATTTGTATAATTTACAATTTTATTTTTCTTCAATAAGCTTAACAAGCTTTAAAAATTATGACTGAATCGCATCATGGCCGAAGGATCATTATATCATATCGTGGGAGCTGCTGTGATTTCCACCCCTACTAGGCCATCACTACATGGCTCCAAGTTAAACAGTGTCATGTTACTATAATATCATACACAACAAGTGTAGGAACTACATCACAATTACAAAGGTAGATACATAGATGAGTGATATTCAGGTGAATATCACTTAGCAATACAGGTAAACATGTTTTTACAATGTACTAAGTAAATCAAAGTAAAAAACATATAGAAGGGCACTAATAAATGACCCACATCATTTGAACAAACTGAGAAGGTAAACAAAAGATTTCAGAGATTAACAGAGGCTTCTAGAATGTTCAGAATGAATAAGGTAATGAAGGAGACATCAGTGCAGTTAAGCACATTAATGCTCATGTATGTGTTGTACCTATGGTAGAAGAGTTCTGTGTGCAGGTTCTCTTGACTGGTACTGTCTGGTTGCTGATGGGATTGGCTGCCACACAGATGTAGGTGTCGTTATCACCATGTTTAATTTCCAGAGGTAGAGAGAGGGTGCTGTTAGAGGAATCACTGACGTTGGAGAGTAGTTGGCTGCCTCTGAACCAGGAGAGAGTCACCTTAAACGCATTCCTCACTGAACACACCATAGAACAATTTGGATTTGATGGCATTTTGGATCCTGACTGGTTTTGTCGAAACCCATATTTAAGGGTGGGTACAGGCACTGGAGCTGGAAAACAGAACAAGACTTTGTCTTTCAAATAAAATGTTGTTGAATATATTCAGTTATGGCTGATTAGACATTGACAGTGAAACAAATTCAATAAATCACTGTCGGATATTTTTACCATCTGCTGATACGGCAACACCTGACATGTGGCATAAACCCTTTTTAACCATCATCTGAGAAAGCAGAAAGAAATTGGCTTACCATACACGGTGACTCTGAATTGCTTCGTTGATGTCTTTTCACTCATGAGCTGTTGTTCATAATCTCCAGAGTCAGTTGTTCTGATGTTGCTAATGGTCAGAGATCCAGTCTTTTTGTCCATCTTCAGTCTGTTTTTGAATGTCCCATTAAATGTCCCATTATAAAAACTGACACTGTCTGTGTTAACTAGCTGTGCTATACGAGTGTCTCCAAACATCCACCGTATCATATCATCACTCTTTATACCAGTCAGATTAGTCCTCAGAGTTACATTTACTCCCTCTTTTACTTCTATGGTCTCCACTTTATCCTGTCCAGCCGCTCTCACATCTGGAAAACATACAATCATTCAGAGAGATGTGAAATAAGCAGTGTGTGTCTGAACAGCTACCACCAAAACTATGAAAAATATATGAATCCTAACGACTCATTCAATTATGTGAAACTCAATTAAAACTGGCTTCATAAAATCCCTCATAGATGAGAGTCCAAGAGAGCACAATTGGTCTCGCTCTCTCTCTGAGTATGCAGGCCCTCCCTCTCCTCCTCCCTATCACTCATTGTGGTGCTGGCCAGTGGGGCCAGCTGTTAGCTAACATAACAGAATTGCGAGTTAGCATTCTCCTCCAAGCATGTTGAGCTGCCCAATGATGTTGCATTAGCAGCAGTTTGAAAAGGTGCAGTGACTGGCTTCACATGACTCAGACAAAGCATGTGCTAGCCTTCACCCTCCTAGCACTGGTTGTACTGTGTGAATGGGGGGAGACCTAATTAACAGGTAGAATTGGACTAAAATTGAGAAGGAAACTGGGGAAGAAATGTCAATGTCAGTATTTCAAATATAGTGAAACTCAGGAATGATAAAAATAGTTCCACTAGGCTAAGAAGTGTTGTGTAGACAGGCTTGCTTTCACTGCCCAGATGAATGTTTTCCAGTTTCAAGGTTGGAAATATGGTGCAAAATTAAATTTAAACACTGTTTAAATAAAACAGCGAATTTTAAATACTTACACATTCATTTTGTGAGACAGCTCCTTACTAGCATCCCATATGCCTAATGCCTTCTTTTTTTAGTAAAACTCTGTGACCTTTCCTTTTTTATTGAGCATGACTTTTTCCATCCTTTGTGCCCACTTGATTTATTTAGCACTGATTTATTTATTTTTTTTCAGTTCAACACAAATAAATGTATGCACAAGTCCCTAAACCTTGAAATCAGTTTTGGCAAACCTTTAGACAGTAATCTAGGAGTCTGTTATCATAATTAAGACTTAGCTGGAGAGCTAGCTAAATCTAGCATATATTTATGAGATGAATTATCAAACAAAACCACGGAGAACCGTGTCTTTGCCAGCACTGGATCAGAGAATTTCTGATGCTTGAGCTGACTCTGACTGGATGATAATTGCATCACACACCACAGCTATTATAATAAGAGTCCTGTATTACTGTACTGTTTAAATAAGGTAACTTTATTTATGTTCAGTAACCTTAACAGTTACTTGTAATCGACATCATAATATTTCCCATCCTGTATCCTGTCCTATGTCCTCTATCATAGACATTTGCGTGACAAATGGCATGCAGCTGGTGCCGAGCCAATAAAATCAGGCTTGCCTAGTCTCGTTACTGAACTGAAAGACAGCCAGCCAACTTATGGAGGTAGACCATCTTATCACCCATCTTATCATACATTCAGGAGAATGCCACTGTCAATGTGGATGACCCCCCACTGTTTGACCAGGATAGATATTGTTGATGTAGATGAAGCCCCACTCCTAAACCAAATCACTTTATTTGATAACTCCAGCAGTTCATTAGAAGGATTTTTATACTTTTATAAAAAGATATGTGCATCTTTTATACTGTTTTCCTTTGTGATATTGTTACTAATTCATTAGCATCTTTTGATTGATTTCACTAGGTGTTAAAAAGCAGTGTCTATGAATTCAACACAGTTGTGTGTTTGAAAGCAGTGTTTGAGCAAAGTTAATATTTAGAGTTACAGTTTTTCTGAAAGACTAGTGAAGCAGTTCATTGTGCATCTAAAAACACACAAACCACTAAAGCACTTCATACACGCTTCAAAATCAGCTCTTTCTAAACTTAGGAGCTAGGAGCCTCAGGGGGGCCTCAGCCTCCGAAGGGGGCTTAAATACTTTGCACTGTAAAAAATGGCTTGTCAGATCAACCTAAAAAATGATTTAATGTACAAGTAAATTAACTAGTTTTATTCAACATAAATTAATACTTGGAGTGAACAAATCTTTCAATCTATGTAATGTTGTGAGTTAAATAAACTAGTTCAATTGTTTGTTACTACATGAAGAAATTTATTTAGGTTGATCTGATGAGCCATTTTTTACAGTGTATCATTGATTTTGTTGCTGCCATTTAAATGGGATGTTTTGCCCCTTGCATTACGACTCAACGTTCAAGTTTCTCTTTAGGTACACAAATCTTACACAAAGCATAAACTGTCACCCAATAAAATATTGCACATTAACCATTAATAAGGCTAGTTTTGTAATATGATATACTATTATTAATTTTCTCAAAACAAAAAAAGATTAAAATTTGCATTGCTGATAATGCACAGGAACATTATGTGAACTATTGTTTTTGTATTTGGGGGGGATTACGATACTGCTGTCCAGGGTCTTGCAAGACCCTAATACATGCCTGACAGGCGGTATTGTAATATATATTACAGCTGCAATATGTTTCAGAGTGATTTTTTTATCAATTTCTGCAGACAAAATTCTAAGCTACAAACTTTGAATTTAAAATTCCAGTAATGTAGAAAAATGTGTATGTACACTATGTATATACACACACTCATGCAGAACAATAAAGATATGCTGCAGATATAAAACTGTGCCACAATAATCAACACTGTCTTATGAATTTTGGGAACACACTTTTACAGTTACATCAAATGTAATGTTCTTTATACCTGAGCAAGAATCTTGTTAAATTTTTAAAGGTTTATTTTTTGCTAAAAAAACTTTATACAGAACTTTGACAATTTATTGTCTCTATTCAAAGGTCTCTCATTTCTTTGACTCATTTTCAACACAGTTAACATAGTAACAGCACTCACAGTACAACACAAACATTTACTGGATAACTGTAAAACTAAAGGAAAACATAGTGACAGATGATAGAACGTACTCTCATAGTTAATCTCATTTAGCAAACACCTAAAACATCCAACACATTTAACAAAACTGGGGTGCATTTAATCACATACCATTAACGATGATGAGATGGATCAAAAGAACGAAGAGAATCATGAAGAAGCAGTTATTTAATGAAGAATAAATCCAAATTTGCTCCCTCTTGCTCATGATGCTCTGGAAATTTGAGGCTTTTGTTTGCATGTTGTTCTCTCACTCTGTGTGCTAAGCCTTCTTCGTAATGTATTCTTTCTAGTGTGGGATTTCTCCGCCCAGAAAGAGAAAGTGGGAAAGAACAGTGAGGTAAGACCCCCTTTACACTTTTCATCAGACATACAAACTACATATTGCTGAGTTTAAAAGTTCTCTGACTGCATGCAGTGTGTCTAGAGATTATGAGACTTGCTAGATTAACTGCTATTCTACAATTACTGAGTATAGAGAAAGCACAAATTACAAACTGTATATTGTTGCTCTCCAAAGAAAAACATCTCCGAAATTGTAACTTTACAGGAAAAACATTCTTATCCTTTAATGTAAGTTAACGTAAAGAGGTTTCATTCCAAGTCATTTTGGGGCATTTCTATTGGTCCATTCATCATGAATTTGTCATACAGTTTAAAAGGGAAGCTGCTCATGTTCAAATGGTGAACTAAAAAATTGTTTTTTTTTTTGGAAACACAATGTGCATGTATGTGCCAACGGGCAGCACACAAATCCAGCCAGTGACAATAAATTATTCACCTTCAACAGAGAACATTTTTCAATATATCGCTGCTGTCGGAACGAAACCTTGTATCTCCAAAATGATAACTTTACAGGAGAAGCAAAAAACTTACTTTACTTTTAATGTAAGTCAAAGGAACCAGACCTTTCCAAAGTCATTTTTGGGCCATTTCTTTTGGTCCATTCAACATTAAATTTACACACAATGTAAAGGACAACAGGCTTTTTCAAATTATGTCAAAAAACTAAACAACAAAAATGGATAAACAAGGTTTCGTTCAGACAGCAGCAACATATCACATATTACAGCTCAAGTCATGGAGACTCACAGCTTGGTGACACACTTACTAAACTGATGATTAACACGAGGACTGAATACGGCATCCCAGTTTTATTGTATATTCACCTATAATAAACAAAAGCATCACTCACAGTCTGGTGCTATGCACTAGTTATGGGAAGACTGGGGATGCAGCTTGTGAGTATTACAGTATTCTGGTGTCACCAATCATATCCAGAAAGGGCCAGCGTGGCTGCAGGTTTGCATTCTAGGCTTATTGTTTTAAAGACACTACAGAAAGGTATATATGTATATTTCAGTTATTACTACAATACTTTTGTGCTAACATACATTTGCGAGTACGTGTCTGTGAGCTATTCTTGCTGCATTTTAGGAATGCACTGCATGTTGTGGGAAGATTGCAGGCAGATTTCCTCATTCTCCCCTGAATGTTTGTTTGGATCAACCGGATGCAAACAACATCTGTACACATCTAACCTTAGATTTCCTGCCCCTATGTTTCTTAGCTTTTTCCTGCTAAGCAGATGAACAGAAAGGAAAAAATGCAGTATTTTATATGGGCTTAAAAGTGGCTGAGTCAGTTTCAGTTTTGTTGGATATTCCAATGATTCTGTTATGTTCTGTGCATAATGATGTGCCAACTGGCAAGTTTAGTAGTTGTTTATCCTTATTTGGAAATTAAGAAATCAGTACTTCATTAGTAATTGGGGAAGTTACCTCTTGATATTTAAGAATGGCTATATAAATAGTATTGGTCCACAAAATTAAGCCACAAGTAATTGCACATGTAATTACACACAAGCCAGATATACACAGCGTTTGAATAAAGTGAGCCAGAAAATATACATATAAAAATGAAAATAATTACATTTCTGTTATCACAGAATGGGTTTCTGTGTAAACCCAGGGCCCCTAGACTTCCTACTGTTACAGAACAGCATGTGTGAACATGACTTCTCGTAAGGCAGGGCAAACTGGTGGTTGTTGTGTAGATAGGAAGAAATGTACAAAACAAAACACTATAAAACACACCCCTTCTCGAAAATTCAGCCACTTTCAGGTGCACCCACTGCTGACACGGGCGTTCGACTGCATGCACAGAGTTTGTTCTTTCTCAGTAGAAAAGCATTGCTAATAGAATGTTGCACTCTGGAGCATCCGCACATAAGCCTAAGGTCACTATTCCCAATGCAAAGAGTCGACTACAGGGGTATAAAGCCCCCCAGCATAGGGGGTGTGGAGCACTGGAACTGTGTTCTTTGGAGTGAAGAAGCTCCATTCAATACATTTGGGATGAGTTGTAGTGGCATTTGTGATCCAGAAGTGATCATCCAACATCAGTACCTGACCTCACAAATGCTCTTGTTGCTGACTGCAATCAAATCCTCACAACAATTTTCCAACATCTAGTGAAATCTTTGCAGAAGAGTATAGGTTATTAATGCAGCAAAGAGGGACAAATGTCCAATGTATGTCCTTGATTTCAGAAGAAATGTTGGATGAGCAGGTGTCCACAAACTTTTGGACATAGATTTTGGACAAAAGAATTTGTTGATATGTAGCAGTCTAAGATATTTATGAGGTTTCTGAGGTTGTGGGACACAGTATAGTAAATAGAAAATGTGTTTCTGTTTGTGATGGTTTTGCAGGCCTAAACTTGCTAAAGCTGTCTTTTCATGACTGACTTATCCCACAAATCTTTCCTCTGAATCCTGCTATTTACTCCTGCAGTGGTCTATAAATGTGTTTTACAGATAAAATTGAATTTAACATGGAAAAATGAAGATGAAAATTAAAAAAAAAAATGAAAAACCATCGCGTGTGAAAATGTACAATCATAATATAAAGAGACAGTTTAAAGAAACTATAGCTGGCACATGCATTTACAACCCGCATAAAATTTGAGCCATGAGGCAGAATTGAGGTGTTGTATGCTGTGCTTCAGTGGTCTGCTTTGTCTACACATGTTAAAAGCAGTTCATGTGTATAGTGCCTGTAATAAGTCTGGATGATGAAATAAAAACAGCAATTATTCAAATAAAATATTTTTCCTAAATCAATAACATGTATTAAGTTATTTTTGATAAATAAGAGTTAGACTCTGTTTTAAAATGTACTTTGTTAAATTAAGTGGCCATGCAGATTTTACTCTCTATATGAGCAGGGAGAAGAAGTCTAGCCATTCACTTATAACAGCAGAAAGTAAATGTGAATCTCATTCTGGCCCTAACACCCTTGGTCTATCCTCTTAGTCTCCACTTGTGCATTCACATGGAGTGTTTACCATATTGTTATATTGCAAGCACTATCTTTACAAAAAACACACAATTTATTTGCAAATTTTTGCTGTTAATATGAGTGACAATGGCATATTGTACTTCTGCACTGTTTACATTGTATAACAGATGTGTGAAAACAAACAGTGCGATATAAAAGTTTGCCTTTAATAATATTGGATATCTATTGAACATCATGGCAGAAACAAAGATTAAAAAGGAGGTTGGAAAATACATGCCTTCTAGTTTGTCTTTATTTAATAAATAATACCAATATCAATGCTAGCATACAGGTATCAGCCACTGAAAAACCCAAGGACCTTCTGTAATAGACAAAGACAAAATGAAAGAAAAATAAAGTCCTTCAATGTATTCACAAAATTCTCTCCCAACATGGCAAAAAATCACTGAATCAAAGCAACACCAAACAGCTTTACATAGAAATCTAGTCTCATAGAAACCTTTTGTCATATGCAACGCACGGTTTGGCAACAGGCTACAGCACAAATATTTCCATAGATTTAGAATTTGTTAAATTGGTAGTGATGGATATTACTTTACTGTTATTGAAACTGCCCTGTGATGGACTGGCGACCTGTCCAGGGTGTATCCTGCCTTCTGCCCAATGACAGCTGGGATAGGCTCCAGCACCCCACCGCGACCCAGAAAGATAAGCGGTTTAGATGATGTATGTATGTATGTATGTTATTGAAACTGCCAGTTTAAGTGACTCATGCAAACTTTGCTTTGGTTCATTAGCAGACTCACATGCTGCAGATTTGACCTAATCATGATGGACCACATGGGAAAAGGTCCACACATGAAACATGAGCCTTGGAGGCAGTCACTTAGCATTTTAGCTCCATGTCTAACAAACCATAACAGCTTATATTTACAAGTTATAATTTTCATAATAATAGTTTTAATTGCCCATTTTATTTATTAATATTAGTAGTGTTAATGTTTATATCAAGTTCATGGTTGAACCACATATTGATATACTTTTAACATGACCTATATATTTAAAAAGAGTTCTTCTATTGTTACAAGCTTGACATTCTAACAATGGCAGAACCTTTTTGGTGCTGTGTAGAACCATGTACACATTTTCTATCAATCTGAAGAACGCTTTCACCATGCAAAGAACCATTTAAGCATGCAAATGTTTTTTTGAGAGTACATGGTTTTATATAGAACCATTTTCGTTCACTAAAGCACCCTTGAAGATCTTTTTTTTAAGAGTGATAGAGAAGAGTTTGACACATACAATGAAAAGGATGCTCAATCTTCAGTTGTTGAGACCTCTGTTGGGAGGGCTCTGTAATCCAGAGGGAGAAACCTGCCCCATATGTATTGTTTAATTTTTGGCCAGAACTAATCAGTAAATAGTTTTTATCTTTTGTTGAGGCAGTAAACCTGCAATTCTTCAATCTCTAAACTTGCCTCCTTGCCTTTGCTCTGTCACGCTCTCATCCATTATTAGACTAAAAGATTTCCCAAATGGATTTCTGTCTTAATTCATGTGATGGTTTCTTTCTGGTGGGATCAAGGTTTCTGTCTGCGTTGCCATTGGTAGAATGTCTAATAGTGAAGTGGATAACATTACTTACCCTGCCGAGTTTCATCCCCTGTTCAAAGACAGATCAAACACATCACTATAACCAATAATAGCGGATGAGACGTCTAAGATTTATGTTCATGTGCTATTGTAATTTGCTCTGGATGAAAAAAAAACAGGTGTTTAATTTGTAATCCTTTATGTATTAAACAAATGCTTAATACGCGAAGGATTAATTATTACAAAACTCTACATGGTAGAGTTTTGATTGTTGCTTTATACAAACTGTCACTTCAAAATGTACAACAGAATTAAAAAAAGAACATCTATAACCAACGACTGCGAGCTTGTCTAAGCTGTAACTTATGATACAACAGCTGACTGAAAACTGACCGGACCCCTAAGCAGTGGAGGAATAAGGTTGGTGAAAAAAACAGCTTTTTCTGATAAGGATTGTAAAAAAAAAAGACTAAACACTAAAGTAATGAAACACATTAAACAACAATTAATATAACACCCAGACTAATGTCTAATGGTTGTATGTTAAAAACCAAGTAAACTAAAAAATGAAAGTGGAACTAGTTATCAGTTAAACAGCTGATTTCAGGAGCGAAAATAATTTTTTTTAGAATGGGGTGGCCAGGTAAGACCCAGAGATTTTATTGGGGTGGCACACTGCTAGAATAAAAAGTTCCATACAATAGTGTTAATAAATAAGAATGACATCAAAAAGTAATGCATTGTTTTTTCTTTATGCATAACTAAATCTAAATGCATCACCTTTGTCAGAGCACAATGTTAATATTAAGGAAAACTAGAAAGTTAGCCAGACAGCACTCTATAAGACATCCACCCAAATAATACCTGCTCTGTGGTGGTTCTGTGGGGGTCCTGATCATTGAAGAACCGGGTAAATGGGGGCTAACAAAGTATGCAGACAAACAGATGGACTACAGTCTGTACAAAGTGCTCCTATATGGAAGGTGTAGCTGATAAAATAGACAGTGAGTGTTGAAACAAAGAGGTGTGCTTAATTAACTGGCCAGTTGGTGTTTTAATTTGGAATACTTTATCAGAACAAATGAATGAGAAAAAGACGTAGGGATCTCTATTACAGTGTTCAATATCCAGATATAGAGAGAGGATTCTGTTCACTGATCACTGACGGAGGACAGTCGACAGCTGCCTCTGAACCAGGAGAGAGTCACATCATGCGCATTCCTCACAGAATACACCACAGAACATCCTGGATGACCTTCTTGATTGTGACTGGTTTTGTGGAGACTCATATGTAAGAGTAGGCACAGGCAATGTAGCTGGAAAACAAAACCAGCAATGTCTTATCTTCTCTCCCACACAAAACATGGCTTGCAAACAAGATCAGGGAGATGTGATTTAAGAAGCACGTGTCTGAACAGCCACAACAGAAACCCTCCACAAACTCAGAAATGATAAAAATAGCCCTGATATGTTTTCAGGATACTGTATAGAAAAGCTTAAATGGTTTCAAAATTATAGGTTGGCAATATTAAATTCAACCGAAAAATAAATACATCTGATGACTATAAATGCATAAATATTCATGTTAAGAGACAGGTCCTTAATAGCATGCCATATGCCTGATATTTTCCTTTTTTTGCACCATTCTATGAATATATATTGTATTTTCCAGACCAAACTGAAAATATCTCTAAAATTCTACTGTCAGGCTGTATGAATGCCATTTTGGTCAGCAAGTGTCATAACTTGTGTGTGTCCATTAAAGCTAGTAGTGACAAACAATTTACGTTACCATGTTAATCCTGATTTACAGTAGCTAATGATTATTAATGCACATGCAACCTTTATTAGAGGTCCAAAAAAAGGAGAAGAATGCCATAGAAGATGTGGTCCACTCCCCACTATCTAAACAGGATAGACATTGTTGATGTAGACAAAGTCCCACCCCCCCAAAACGGAACCTCTTTCTTTGATTCCTCCAGGAGTTACAATGATTTTTATGCCTTTATAAACAGATACAAGGGTATTTTTAAGTTTTTTCTTTGTGTTTACATATGTTACTAATTCATTAGCATCATTGTTCCAGGTTATAACGATCAGTGTTTATGAATTCAATGTAGTTGTATCTTTAGAAAGCAGTGTTTTATTATGAGCAAATTTTCATGCAATTACATTTCTAGAACAATGTATTATTAGGTTATCAGGTTAGGTTTTGATGGTGAGGAACTCAAATGAAAATGTTATTTCTGTAAAACACGTGAACAGAATCTATGCTCACTCCCCACTAACGATGATGAGCTGAAGCAAAAGAACGAGCTCTGAAAAACTTGTGCAGGAGTTCTGAGTAGCTTTTTTGTGGTTTGGGAAGTCTAGCACTTTAGGGGCGGTTTGTACCTTAGGGCGATGTGGCAAGGCACCACCAAAGGGGGAAAGGGAGAAAGTTTTCACTTTCTAACACAGAGTTACACTAGCTGTGACTGCTGTGGACAGTTGGTCCTGCCTGTGAATATCACAGTCCAATCAGTGTCAAGTTCCATACAGTAACGCCCCCTTTGGGGTGATTCCAGTCTGACTGAAAATTGCCCAGATTGCTCTTTTTTCAAACTGTCAGCACTGCAGTCTGAGAACTTGTAGAGAGGAGAATTACTGTCATCATTTATAAATGCTCAATCATTTTTAATGTAAAAGATTCATTTCCTAAACACAAAACAGCATAAAACATTTTAAAACCACTGTTATATTCTTGAGCACATTTGAACTCCAGTTATAGGAGTTTAAAACTGCACATCATTTATGTTCATGATGTCAGTGAGCGCAAACAGCTAATGAGCTGCTCTGCTCGCTTAGAGAAATCTGTTTAGAGACTATTTTAACTTTTCGTTTTCAGGCGTTTAGCTCTATTCTCCCCTATTTATTTAGGACTTGCTCACAGGCACCCTCTGGCGTTCTGCTGTAAAAAGACAGGAAACATACAAGTATGTTTTCTTTGCTTTTTTAGTGAAATACATATGTCTACTTTCCAATATTACAAGAAAACCCTGGACAAATTGGTTAGAAATTATTTTGCTTTTCGTTTTTAGCCATTTAGCTTCGTTCACCCCCAGTCATTTAGGACTAACTCTCTGGCGCCCTCTGGAATTTTGCAGTCATGTTTTTTATATAACGAAGGACATAGGAAGTGGCCAGGCTCCCCTTAAACTGGCTCTGCAGCAGTGCAAGTACTATGTATGCGTGCTTTCATCATATGTAACCTGGGCTGCATTCAGCCCCAACAAAATGTCATAGAAAATTTATTTAAAATGGAAAAGGTAGTGTGTTTGACACTGCAACTATGGCAGCAGAGAAGTCCATTCTTGGCATTCTTTTAGAAGAATTTTCGGAGCCTCATGAAATGGGTTTAAATTCATGTTTAATGCTTCAAAATCCATCTTCAACTGCTGCAAACACCAAGCTGCATCGGCTGCATTTTGTAGGGGACTGCATTTGTCGTTCGACCTGGAAACAAAATACATTTCAAACACATTGCAATCCGTGCTGAAATGCATTCCAACATATCTATTTCACATAAACATCTATTTCAAAATATTCTATACATTACTATTTATTAACAAATACAATTTGACCATTTTTATATATTGCAAAAAGATTTTTTGATAAATACATTTGGGACATATGTTTTTTCCATAAGGAGAAGCTTTGGAGAAGCATAAGGATTGAATGTGCCGCTGGTGTAGGGATAACTGGGCAGCTAGTGATCTAGTGTCAGCTAGTGCTTACTATGTGCATTGTAACTGTAGTAATACTATGCTAGGCCTACATTAATTTCTTTGTTTAATCAGAACACAACTAGCTACACAATAGATTTTCTAGATTTGCTGCACCTAAAATTCATGTTCGTGCCAAATGGCAACAGGCGCAGTTGCCCTCCTGAGAGATCTGGCCAGAGCCACCACTTTAGTATGGTGACAGACTTACTAAACCTGATGATTAACTAATGGGCCGAGTAAAAATTTTGTTCATATTTTGTCTTAAATTATATCACGATCACCTAACCATTGAAATTAGCATCCTGAACAGTCTTCCAACAGTTGGACAAACATCTGGGTTTGTTCATTGTAAGAACAAAATGAATTTATGTTAGATATTCTTATATTCTTGTTTTTAATGATATGCCAGCCGTCTGGGTCACATTTAGTAGCCACAGTCAGTTGTTTTTCCTTATTTGTTAAGGAACAATAATGAAATGAGTTGTACTTCGTTAGTAATGGGGTGAAGTTATATTTAATAGGGGTTATATAAATAGCATTGGTCCACAGAATTGGTCCACAAGCTGTGAGCAATTGCACGTCTTTATACTGTGTTTGAAGTCAGGAAAATCAATTTTTGCCCTTTTTTGACCAAAAGGGATATGAAAATTTTCCTTGCATCAGCAGATGTGTAATGTCACACCCCTGTTACACCACTTCACCCACAATGTCGCAGTTGCAATCATTTCTGACCATCAAAATAGCATATAGTGACAATGGGTTTGCATCCAACCAGATTAGTAATAAGTCATTACACCAGTAGACTGGAAATACAGGCCAAATGTGATACCAAATGTGCAAAATTCACTAAAGGATGCTGAGAAAAGTGTTATTTCATTAAAACTATGAGCACAGTAAATTAGAATGTAAAGTGTAAACTTAACCTGAATTTGAGATGAGTTTGAAGCTCGTGTCACTTGATTGATGAAGATCAGGACGTCTATAACTGTGACTGCCAACCCTGTCAGCAACCACTGAAGTTTTCACAGGGCTGCTACAAAGATTTTGAAACCAGCTTTGTGGAATTTGAACAAGTTGTGCTCATCTGAGCTCAAAGTCTGACAGCAAACTGTGAGTCATCCCTAATAATAATGCAAAATGTAGAGCTGATATTCCCACAAATGTTTTATGTTTAAATCCAGTGAAAAATGTGTTTATGACTGAAAAAAGTTCCTTGTCTGAAAAAAACAGACTCTGCTGCCCTCTGCTGGACATTATGGCTCTGATCTGAGGGCCTTTTCTTCTTTTTCATGTCTATTACTAGAATACCTTTAAAAATAGACCCAATGCAATGCCACAGAAAAACATTTTTTGGTTTCTTAAAGAACCAAACAGGTCTAAACAGAAATAAATTACAGTACAAAAATCAAGAAAATGGCGTCATTGTTAGTCAGTTCCCTTATGCGGACACAAGGAGGCACTGTTGTACACAGTCACCAACCAAACCACGAAGTAAAATTATATATAAACAAATATAATAATATTTTTATTGTAAAACATAAATATCACAATGAATATAAAAAAGTATTAGAAGAATAGTAAAGATAAGGTGTGATGGTTGTCAATGACAAGTGAGATTACAAATCAGTGAAATTGTAAATTTAATACTCCTAAACACTGGTAAACACTGCACAAAACCACATTTACACCACCTGTAACTGAAGGGTAATTCAACAATGATATTGAGGTCACTATAAGACACAATATTATAACCTTAAAAAAAACTTTCCTCTTCTTTCGGGCCCTAAACATAAACACACCTGTAGTAGGGCGAGGACCTCCGATAGTTGACATGACAGGAGGGGAAAACATAATTCCCACCAGAACTTTGAGATTTCCTGGAGGTTTAAATTGCAGGGGTCAAATGGACACCAAGGATGAAAAGATGTTAGGAAATTTGAAGATACCAGAGCGATCAAGTACATTAACTTCACATTGAAATGTGGCTATCTCTACTCCTCACACATGAGCGTTTTAATAAAATTGCTCAGTCAATCAGTCAGTGTGTGAAAATGCCTCTTCTAGGCAGGTATACCTGATAACTTTAAAGAAAAATGATCAACTACTGTACAAACAATTCAGAAAACTTAAAATCCAGTTCTTCTTATCAAGTCCCAGATGCTTCCTACTGTTACAGAACAGCATGTGTGAACAAGTTTCTGGTTAAGCAAGGCAAGCAGGTGGTTGTTCTGCAGAAGAAAATGTACAAAACAAAACACCATCTAAAACACAGCCCTTCTTGAGAATTCAGACACGTTAAGGTACACCCACTGCTAACACAGGCATTCAACTGTACACTCACAGCTTGTATAATCTCCATAGGAAAGCTTTGATAATAGAATGGGACTCTCAGGAGCAGCCGTACATAAGCCTAAGGTCACCTTGCCTAATGCCAAGCATTAGCTAGACGGATATGAAGCTCCCCATGATTGAGCTGTGGAGCAGTGGAGCTGTTTTCTTGAGTGATGGAGCTCCTTCCAATACCTCTGGGTTGAGCTGGAGTGATCCAGAACTGATAATCCAACATCAGTACCTGACCTCACTAATGCTGTTGTGGCTGAATGCAATCAAATCCTCACAGCAATGTTCCAGCATCTAGTGAAGTCTTCCCAGAAGAGTAGAGGCTGTTACTGAAGCAAAGAGGGACAAACTTCCTATTAATACCCTTGATTTTAGAAAATAAAACATTGGATGAACAGGTGTCCACAAACCTTTGGACATGTATTTTAACTGTGTACTGATGTTTTTACCCAGGTATCTGGCCAATTTTAAAAAGATATCACAAAATGTCTGTTGATATCTTGCAGTCTGGAAAGTTTCTAAGATTCTGCAGGGGATTACAGTGCGATTTGGAAAATGAAAATGTGAGTGTCAGTATATGATGGTTTTCTTTCGTTTTTTGGTGCAAGCCTGGACTTGCTAAGGCATGCGTCCAGCTATGTTTCTATCACAGACCTTTCCCACCTATCTTTCCTCTGAATCCCACTGTTTATTCCTGGGCCTGAAAGGTGCTTTGCAAATAAAACTGTATTCAATGTTACGATGAAGATTAAACTTAAAAGAAGGATGTAAAACCACAGCATACACAAATGCAGCTGCAATGTAAACAAAGATTGATGAAAATACAGCTGACACATGCATTTACAATCATCATGTGATGATAGCTGAGTAGACTGTGTCTTCTGGCCCCTCAGGTTTCTGTAAAAAGCATTAAGAAAAAAATATTAGGGTACAAAGTTATTCACAATCAAAACTCTTCAGAGTGAAACTGTACTTTGCATGAAATTATATTTACATAAATTTGTCAAAGTCATTGGCATGCCCACGCAGAAACGAGGTGAAATTTCAACTGTAAGGCAGATTTGTGGTGCATGCTATGCAATGTGAAGTACACTACTGTACAATGGTTTAGATCTCAACTTTACTTTGTTACACAAGGTCGCCACACACCTTTTACTCATTAGACAAGCAGGAAGCATTCTAGCCATTCACTCATAACAGCAGAAACTGAAACCCCCTTGTCTTTTCCTGGCCCCTGCACTCTATCCTGTCTATCCACTTAGTCTTGACTTGCACGTTAACATGCAGGGTTTACCTCACTGAGGGCTATTTTAGAGTAACTAGCAGCAAGGAGGAGTGAATTATAAAACTATAAGACTCTATGACATGCACACTTTCGACAACGTGGGGGCACAACCTGTTTAGCAGGATGGAGGGAACAGCAAACAAATGTTAGTTCAACCTCACTATTAAGTCAAATATTATTTTTGCTTATACATGTACTGTAAGAATTTGGGACATTTTTCTCACAAAGCAATTTCACAGTGTCCCTAAACAAAATCATATAATATGTGTAAATAAAAAAAAAACAGTAAATATATGTCTCCATAGGTTCAGGTGATTCGTTTCCTCAATGTCATACATGCAAAAACTATTTTTAATGTAAAATTGGCAATGTTTTATTGCATATCATCACTGCCATGACAAAACCCTGAATTTTCATTTTTTTATTTTTGGAGACAGTCAGGCAAGCTTTACATTTATTTGTAGCCATGGTTACAGCAGCTTCCTTATTCTGCTGGAAAGTCGCAAGGACATCCCAAAGTTTATCCATTTATCTATGTAATGAAGTGTTGGGGTAACTAGCTAGCTCATTCCAGTGCAGATCCTTTCCTTTCCACCTTCTGACACTCAGGTTTCCAGCCTCATCTCGGCATGTCTGGCGATCATCTCTTCATGGATGGTAGATCACCACCTGAAGCTCAATCCTAGCAAGACTGAACTGCTATTCATCCCTGGAGCTACAGGTGCTCATCATGATCTTGCCATCTCACTCGAGAACTCCGTCATTCCATCCGAAGATGCGGTGTGAATCTGGATTCCCATTTATTATTCAGCTCATACTGCCAACCTGATTGGGTCATGCACATGTCTAGTCAACAACATCCGGAGGATCTGATCCTTTATCTCTTGGGAGACCACCCAGGTGCTAGTTCAGTCTCTTGTCATCTCAAGGTTTGACTGCTGCAACCCTTCCTATATACAGGCCATCACACTCTTGCAACGGATCCAGAATGCACCAGCATGGCTGCTATTCAATCGTCACTCGCCATTGCACTGTTGTGTTTCCTTCACTGGCTTTCTGTACCTGGCCGCATCTGACTTAAAACCCTGTTGTATGCCTACAAAGCCAAAAATGGACCAGCCCTTTCCTATCTGATGGCAATGGTCAAAAGTCAACCTGTAGATCGAGCTCTTTGAGCTTCAAGTATGGCTAGGCTTGACCCGCCATCCTTCAAGACAAGTATCAAGACTCTTTTCTGTCCTCGCACCCAGTCCCTCACTGTCTTCAAACGCAGTCTGAAGACCTATCTGTCTGTGAAGTGCTTACATTAACACTAATCTAGCACATGTTGAAATGTATTTTGTATCTTTCCAGGTTTCCGCACTGGCTTTTGTTCCTGGCAGTATCTGAGCTCAAGGGTACTCTGGACTTTTGTAAGCCGCTCTGGATAAGATAAAGTGAACAGTCCCCATTTCCCTGGGACAGGCCCTGTTTTTGGTGGCTTGTCTCTGGCTGGAGCACCCTGAAAAGTCTTAAGAAATGCCTGGCAGCAGAGCAGACGGGCAGACGTCTCATGTTGTGCTTGTTTTGGCCAACAGAGAGGGCTGCTGCTGCTGCTATCCTCTAACTACTTCTTCTACGCTCTCCTAGTTTTAGAAAACACTGCTGTGTACAACTCAACCAAAAGCTAACAAGTGTCAAGTGAGTCCACAACATCACAACAAATGCCTTTTCATAACATAAGGTAACCCAGGGGTGGGGTTATGGGACTTGAATTGTACTACCAGGTGATAGGTAGGCTATGTGAGTTGTGATTGCATACAGTCTACTAGAATGTAAGCTACCAAGCGCTCATACAGCCACTGAATTTGAAAACTATCAGCATGGTCAAGATACGTTAAACTGGAACCGTAACCCCTTTTCTATTTCATAGATAAAAACAATGAATATCAATGTTACATTGACTGCTGAACTGGTTTTCATTTCAGAAATCTGGTCACCTTAGGGTAAGGTGCTGAAATGCTAAGTGCTGTAAATATAAATGCTGAAATTATGGATAGTGCAAAAGGCACAATTTTTAAAGAAACAACTTAAAAAAAGGAGAAAACCCATCTCAGAACAAGAGGAGTTGCAATGCAAACACACTGAAGAGGAAAGTTCAGCCCAGGGAATCTAAAGTAAAAGCACATCTCTGCAGTGGAAACAAATAGAAGTACTGTAGTAAATGAAACCGCATAGACAGAAGTGGACCTCAGGGGAAAAAATAAGAAAAATGTAGAATTTGACTCCTTTAAAGCCTTTAAGGCCTTTAAAGTCTTGGTTTAAGATGACATCAAAAAAGTAACACAAATTGCTCATAGCTTACCCAGTGCACACTTACACGAGCAATCTGTAAACACTGATAGGCAACAGTTATTACAAATGCAAGCTACAAGCAAACTAATAATGTTCTTGAAATGGAAACATTATTGCAGTGAGGCAGACACACAAATGCAGTGCACACAGCAACATATAGTACATCTTACCATGTTTTGTACTCTTTTTGCATAAAACATTGTTTCAGCATAATGTACTTCTTCTTCAGGACTCTGAACTGTTTGACAGTAAATAACAGTAAATAATGTGTGAAAATTAATTGATTGGCTGACTATTAAAGTTTGCTTTTTGTAAAGCTATTTAAAAATATAATGTTGGATAGTTTTGTTATTTTTTATCTTCTGACTGTCATGGCAGACATCCTTTATAAAAGAATATCACTTTGAAAACAGATTGCATAAGTTTGAAGATACATGCCTTCTTCTCTGTTTTTAGGGATAATTTTGTTTCTGTATAGCAGGTACGCAGCAACCAATGCCAGTAGCAGTAGTATCAGTACAGGTATCAGCCACCATAGAACTCGATTACCTCCTGTAATAGACAAAGACAAAATTAATTAGTCTTCACTGGAGTTTTTCTTAAATACTCCATAACAAAGACAAAATTTTCAGGAAAAGAAAAAAGTCAGTGTATTCACAAAACCTTGTACCAAAATACCAAAATAATCACTGAATAAAGCAACACCAGCTTTAGATTTTATTTTTGTCTTAACATATGCTACACATACTTTGGCAATGGGCTTCAACATATATTTCCATAGATTCATAATTTGCTAAACCAGTTTGTGAACAATATTACTCTACAGTCATTGAAACTAAGTGGTTCAAACTATCTACCCTCTGTGACAGCCCACTCAGGTCAGCACATGAAGCAGGAGCCTGGGGCTATCTGTTTCTCCCAGGTTCCATATATGCAGCATGGGTCAGTGGGTGGTAGTTTAGAGGAAGCATGTGTAAAATTGAACATTTTTCAGATTTTTGCCATGAGTTCTGGGTAGGAACTTGATAACTGGTGCCTTTCTAGAGGGTGAATCAAAACTTTAAACAGAATTATAACTAGGAATCCTATTTCGTGCAGTACCTCTCATTTTGCTCTAACACCCACTTCAACTTAGAAAGTGTTTATTAATTAGTTGGCTCAAGTGTGGTAGAGCAGGGACAGAACCTAAATATGCAGGGCAGGAGTACACCAGGAGCAGGACCAGAACCACTGGTGTAACAGAAAAGACGACTAAATATTAGCACTTTTATAAGTAAGTCTTCAAACATGCGGCAGCTGATATCCACTGACTGGCTTCCAAACGAGCAGAATAGTCAGTGCTCAACTGCCTAAGAGTCAACTGTCTAACTGTCTACAAAGCATTTAGTGAAGTTTATAATAAATATATTTATCCAATAATAAAAACTATGATTTTAACATTCTCTGCTATACTGCTGAAGAAAAGACAACTCTGCTCTGTCTTTGTGGTTGTGGCTTTTATATGATTAGATGAGCTGTGGAAAAGGCTAAAAGTCATACAGACAGTATGTGTCTTACTGTGTCTGATTCACATGTACCACTGCAACACACACTAACACTCCACAACTACGTCAATGCCGAGAATGATCCACCACCCAAATAATAGCTGCTCTATGGTGGTCCGGTGGGGGTCCTGACCATTGAAGAACAGTGTAAAAGGAGAATAATAAAGTATGCATCGAAACAGATGAAATACAGTCTATAATTGTATTGAAGCTGATAAAATGGACAATAATTGTAGACAATGAGGTGAACCTTATAAAGTGGCTGGTCATACATCCCTGCTAAAAAAAGGACCATTAGAAACCGTTAGAAATAAAATCTAATGTGTTTTTTTTAAGGAAAGGCATCTAAAAATAGTGCACCAAACATAGCCCAAACTGCACAGTGCTTACCAACAAGAAGAGAAATGTGAGCTAATTGTTAAACGTTTTAAAATGTACTACATTTTTTTAATCTTTAGTACAAGAACACCTATAACCAAAGAGAAGGCTGCAAACTTGACAAAGCTGGAATTTATGGTAGCTCATAAATTGGAAGCTCACTGGACCCCTAAGCAGTGAAAGAATAAGGTGGTGAGAAATATGGCTTTTTTCTAAAAGAAACTGTAAGTGCTAAAAAAATGATGATCGTAATGAAACAACAATTGATAACACAACATAGACTGATTTTCGAAGAAGTGTAACACATAAGCTTTTGATGAGTAAAAACTAAGTAAACTTAAAATGAATGTGAATCTAGTTAGCAGTTACACATGGCACATGGAAAATTACTTCTTGTAGTAACAACCAGTGTGTTGTATTAAACAAATGATCAAACCTATGTAATGCTCAAATGTATAGAAGCTGCTAGAATATTCAGCGATATATGTAAGTGGTAACATTTTAAAGAATATATTGTTTTAATTTAATAAATGAGATAATGAGAGAATGAGACTACAGTGTAGTTAAAACATTCATGCTTGTGTATGTGTTGTACCTGTGGGAAAGCAGGAGCAGGTTGTATTGAGTTGTACTGTCTGGATGCTGATGGGATTGGCTGCCACACAGATGTAGGTATTCCTATCACAGTGTTCAATATCCAGAGGTAACATGAGGGTACTGTTATCAGGATCACTGATGTTGGAGAGTAGTTGGCTGCCTCTGAACCAGGAGAGGGTCATTTTACCCACGTTCCTCACAGAACACACCACAGAACATCTTGGACTTGATAAGCTTTTGGATTGTGAGTGGTTTTGTTGAGATTCATATATAATGTAAGGCACAGGCAATGTAGCTAGAAAAACAGAACAAGCAACTTCTTACCACCTCTTTCAAACAAGATATAGTTGAAGATATTCAATAATGGTTGATTAGGTATTGTGCTTGTGGGACAGGGCTTCATCCTTGGAGTTTCATCAGCAGCATTGCTTCTTCAGTCTAATGAGCCTAACTTGTAATATTTTGTTGGTCATTCTTTTACGTAGAAGTGCAAGGGTGCAAGGTTATGTTTCTTATACAGCAGCCAAACTTGTTTCCAAAAGCAGAGAACCAAAGTAAGCCATGTTGTTCACTTTCTATATGCTCATTATAATACATGAAAGAGAAACAATAATTTATGTGTTGATATGTGTTATGTGTCAATTTATTACTTTTTGGTGACATGCTAAACATAAGCAAAACTGCCAGAGGATGACAGATATGTTTTAACATCTGTTAATATGACATGAGCGCTGACACATCTGGACTGACTATAAAAACATTTAATGTAATTTAGATAAATGTGGCATAAACAACACTTTTAACAATCATTTGAGATGGAAAATTAGGCACTTACCATACACAGTGACACTGAAATGTTTGTCTGAGACCTGTTCACTGATGAGCTGTTGTTTATAAACTCCAGAGTGTATAAAGCTGATGTTGCTGATGGTCAGAGATCCAGTCTGTTTGTCCAGATTCAGTCTGTTTGTGAATATCCCATTATAAAAATTGACAGTGCCACTGTTTACTAGTTGTGCTATACGAGTGTCTGTAGTTCCAAACGTCCACCGTATCATATCATCACTCTTTATTCCAGTCAGATTAGTCCTAAGAGTTACATTCACTCCCTCTGTAACTTCTACGGTCTCCACTTCATCCTTTACAGATGCTTTCACATCTGGAAAACACACAATCATTCAGAGATGTGAAATAAGCAGTGTGTGTGAACACCCTCAACTGAAACCTCCTACAAAGAGGTAACCAAAGCTATGAAAAACATCTAAATCTTAACAACTCAAATTGAAAAAAATAAAATTGACTTATTCCAATTGAAATACTGATAACACTAGGGTTATACTTTATATAGTAAACTTTAATCCAAGAGTTTCTAAAATTGTGAAATTGAATGTGCAAGAGTTCTCAGAATCAGCAATATACTATTAATGGGAAATAGTGTCAAAAATCATCAGGATATATTTCACATGCGATAAAAACCTCAGGAATTACTTCAAATTTAATAGTTCCAATACGAGTAGAGGGTACTATACATATAAGCTTGATTTCACTGCATAGATTAATGTTTTCCGATGTCTATTTTGGCAATGTGGTGAAAATAAAGTCTGACTCAGTTTTAAATAATTCCATTTTAAATTTAAGAGGTAACTCCTTACTAGCATGACATTTGCCTGATGCTTTCCCTTCTTGGCAAAATTTTGTTGGCAATGTATTTCTTCATCTGTTCAATTATCAGTTACCAAAATCAGCTGTGTCACAGCAGTAATGAAAGCAGGTATGTATCTTATTATTCCTCTTCTGTTTGTTTACTTGTTTTGTTAGCAATCCTTTTGGTTTAAATTTTTGAACAACATTTTAAACAACATTTTATATTTAGATGAACAAGTACACCAGTACACAGTTTTTTTCTGACAACAAATGCAGCACAAAACTGACATATCCTTCCTTCTGACAAGTGTAAATGACTAGATCTTTTCCACTTGCCTTATATTATGCAAAACTGAGGTCAATTTGGCCTGCTTAGGATTTCCATACATGCCACAGAGAATGCTAGGCTGTAATTGCTTAATTTTATTATGTAGTACACTTAAATGGATGCATCTGCACTCATTATGTTTCTCAGGTTTCTTCAGGTTTTCATTTATTGGTAACACATTGACACTGTGCTGAAGAAGAGTCAAATGAAGCCATATTTCTGCAACAAGGAAATGCTCTTTAATAATCAACCAAACAGAAAAGGCATACCATATACCGAAAACAGCGAGGGAGGCCACCTCCAGCCTCACATCTCAATTCCACGATAACCTTGTCCCCATACAAAAAGAGCCACAGCCCGACACAACAAACAACAACATAAATACAGAAACACACCCTTTAACTAAATGAACAGCAACATTATGAAGTTAAAATGGCCCTTTTAACAAGGGTGCATGCCTCGCATGAGCCCCCTTCTGCATGCATGCTTGCGAGCACCAATCATAGCACAGCCAGTGGCAGAATGCAACAATATATTGACACTTTTGCAATAGTCAAACATATTCTATTTTTGCTGGGTCGCCCAGAGGCCAGCCTAGAAGAGCTGCTGTCTCTTACTGAGTCACTGAGATGTGCAAGCTTCACCTGATACAAGCAGCAGGTGGGTGGCACTATACACCACTAAATATCACCCTCACACCCACCCAACACTATCAATATAAGGTCTAACAAACAACAGAAGTAAACAGAAACAGACTGAAGCACATCATGAGTCTTGTGATAACAAAAACATAATAACTGGTGAACTAATACAGTGGTGGGTTTTTCCATTGAAGCGCAAGCTTAGTCATCTGACTTCAGTTGTAATTTTTCCTTTAAGTTACTGTATAAGCAACCATATTTAGCTATTTGTTAACTACGTTTAACTTTGCTTATTTCACATCTCTAGCCTCATTTCAGACTACAGCTCTTGCTCTTACTCTCAATACATGCCAGTACAGCATATAAAGTATTTTTATTTTATAATTTTTATTTGGGGCCTTGCTCAGATCTTGCTCTTCTCTCCTGGCTATTCTTTTTTCTATTTCCACTACTTCTGTTCCATTTTCTACAGATGACAATGTAATGGAAAACAAAAGATGTCGAGAACACATTAAAAAAAAAAAATAATAAAATAACAAAAAATGTGGTCTGTGCAAAAGCTACTGTGCATTTTTTTAGCTTTATTATTTATATTAGTTTTTAATAGGTTTTAGTTATAGATACAAATACATACAAATACATACATTATGCACAAAAAATAGAATAGAATTTCAGATTTTTTTGAAATATGAGGTAATTTTGTGTCAAAGCAATAAAAAAGTATCTAAAGTTTAGCCTACACAGTTACATCACAACACAACGTCAGTCAGTCCCCTGTCACTAAATGGAAAAGCGCTCTTTTATCATTGTGTAAACATGTACTGTGCAAATATTTCATATTTAATATTTGCATAAAAACTGGACTGACTGTAAAAAAAAAGCTTGTTGATTGTTCCACACACATGAAAGTGAAAAAAGACATGTGTATTACAGTTTTCACATATGACTCAACAATGATACAGAGGCATGCCTGGTTTCAGTCATGAAAACAACATGATTCATAGTCTCATGTCAAAAGCATAGTCTCAAAAGCAAAAGTGTGGAAATCCCCATTTTCACCACAGACCATCCGGCTATCGTCTCTGTTCACAACACTTCAAATACATGAAGGGAAAAAAATGTTCTGCTATGTCTCAGCCACCCTCTACAGTCCTCAGTCATGATGTCCTCACAACCAGCATCTATAGCCTCAATTAACAACATCTGGAGATCATAGAGTTGAGAAGAGCTCCTTAGCTGGGGTGTGGTCAGGTGAGCAGGGTGTTAAGAGGCTCAGTGACATTCAACGTACAGGCATACAGTTCAGCAAAATTCATGTGTGTTTTCATTCCTGAACAACTGTATTATCAACACCACAGAAGGTTATCTGAGCTGGGTCTGCCTAAGCCAAACCTATGTGGTCTCTGATAGTGGCCATCAGAAGACATTACACTTTGTTAGGGCTGACATTTGACATAGTCAAAAGAGTTTTGCATCTACAACTTTGTCTTAAGTGTGTTTAATGTCTTGCAAAATGTAGCATGTGTTTTCTGTAGGAAGACAGAGTTCATTTTACCTATAAAATAGTTAAACTGTGCATATTAAACAAACAAAAACAAGCTTACTCACTACTATAGGATACAAACACAGTCGTAATCCAGGCATTAAAAAACATAATGGCCATGTGTATTAATGTTTCTAAAATACTGAAAGCTATGAAAATAATTACAACAACTAATTTGGAATGTAAAGAAGTTGTCGGTTGTGAGTGTCTGATGCCAGTGCATTAGTTGGTTTACTTGTTTACTGGTTGCAGTTCCATTGTGCATGTGTTATATATTATTATACCTAAACTAACAACATCTTAAGTGGTTTCCTTATGAAATATATATATATATATATATATATATATATATATATATATATATATATATATATATAAAATTTACTTTTAGAATTTAAAACCTGGTTTAATTTCTTTCTTAAATTTGTTGCGTACAAATATCGTACACAAATATACACACTTTGATGATGTGGTGTGTGGAAAAAAAGTTCAGAAAGTAAGGTAAAAAAGTATTTCACAGATATAAAATTTGACTTCTATACTGGAGTCAGACAAAAAAAAAAGCCCTATGGCGACACCACGTAGTGAAATGAAACTGAAAAGAAGGTGTCATTTTAGAAAACAACTTTATAAGCATTACCAGCCTTAATTTAACAATAAGCAATAACCTATTAATATCATTATCAATAACCTTTTTGATTGCTTTCCTGGTCACCAACCTTACAGAAAATCAACTGATCTGTAAACGGATCAGATTTCATTACTGTGTAATATTTTACTACATTAATCTCCCATATGACTCCGTATGGCGGATGTTTCTGAAGTTTCTTTTTACTTTTAAGAATAAAAATAATCTCCATCGCTTGGAACATTTAGGCAGCACGTGCAGGTCTGGTTGGTGTAGAACCTACTGTTGAAAACGTCGTTGGTGCGAAACACATGAACAACTAACTCACCATTAACGACGACAAGATGAAGCAGGAGAAAGAAATGGATCCTAGAGAAGCAGTCAATAAACGAAGAATCCATCCACATTTGCTCCCTCCTTTTCATGATACTGTGGAATGTCAGGCTTTTCTTTGTATATTTTTCTCTCCCTCCATGTGCCAAGCCCTTTCCTTAATGTTCTCAAGAGTGAGACGCGGAAAACAGCAGTGCGGCACCCCCGCACCCCCCCCCTTCTGCATGATATTTCATGTAATCTGATTTCAGCCTGGCACTCAGGGTGAACGCACCGGCCTCAACAGTAACAGAGGAAATGAGTGGTTAGATTAACTGTCATTCTACAGCTACTAGCACTGCATAGAAACTGCATAGACAAACAGTTTTAACGTGTCTGTGGTGTAAATAAGGTTGTAGGACATGTATATATAGACACTGGCAGCACAAAAGACCCAGCTAGTGATAGTCATCATGTTCAAATGATCCCACCCAACAGCGCAGACATCATTCACTACATATCAGGTATTACAGATCACGTCATGTTTTCTCTTCAAACACACTGAATCTGATAATGGACTTTTTCAGGACACCACAGTTTTACTGTATATTCACTTATAATAAACAGAAGCTTCACTCGCTGCAGAGAGAGAAATTTGGTGTCTTGGAATAGTTATGGGGAGATTAGGGATGCAGTTTTACAGCCATTACGGTAATCAATAGACGGCGTTATTAGAAACACTATCATATAACCGTACTCAAATCAGTATCCTGAACAGTTATCTGACAGCTGGGCAACCGTCTGGGTCTGTTATCTAAGGTTTTCGTCTTTTTTTACTAACTTTCCGTCGGGATCAATAAAGTCTCTATCTATCTATCTATCTATCTATCTATCTATCTATAATCTGCTTGACCGTTTCAACAACTTTTTTCCCCCAAACTGAGCGCGTTGCGCACAAAGAACGCCGCCCTGTGACGCAAATTCACCGCTGCGCTTTCAGACACATTTTCAGTGGGACACGCGACGGAAAACAGTCCGGCGCAGCAGATGCGCAGGGTCACGTAAAGTTCAAACGGTAACACGCCTGATCCGACTAGCAGCTCATTAACAGCCCAGTATTAAGTTAAAGCGACAGGAAAAACACTGAAATGTGCAGTTCAGCGGGCCTCCAGGATCTGGGTCGAAATCACTGGACTAAAGGCTATCAGAGAGCGCCGCCCACCTTTACGCCCACCCGGCAAGCGCAGCGAACAAAGTGTGTGAATGAAGCTGAGGCGGAGCTAAACTGTTTCTTGTTTTTGTTCTTGTCTCTTCAGCGCTGCTGATTTCTTACTGGCCGCGTGTCCTAAACGGCGCTCTAAGCCCACTTCAAAGTCAACACTTTGGTGACGTCAACAGCGTTTTAAACCAAAAGGGGAAAGACACCTCGAGGGCGCTTGGTTTAAACACGAGCATTAGGGACAGACTCGTATGAGGCTCCGCGCGTGCTGTATCGATGTACTTCTATTTACATTTTTATATTCTTATTTTTTTTAACGAGCTAAGCCCCCTGCTCTACAGGCTTGTGGTCCTTACATGTACTTGCATTATGAGGACTGCAGGACTTGGAGTGAGATTGGGGTGGGATTTAGAATATGTTTTACTCACACTTTGATAAATAAGACCCCTAAATAACAAGGACACTGAGCCAAAGGCAAAACTTATTATGGCTCGTGTTAGAGTTAGTATGACCTTTATAGCATAGACGTGTTTTCTGTAGTTGTATTATTTTGAACACTTCACCTGTAGACCTCATGCACTCTAAATGCTCTCTACAGTGCTACATGTAGTGGTAGGCTAAATACTTACAAAAGGAAACATGCACCAGTTTTCATCCTCCAGTATATTTGTAAGTAAACTACAACAAAATCTTCATACTGGACCCTTAGTTAACAGCTTACTTGGGATAGTGTGATTGAGTGATGATCGATTGCTGCCTGAGGCTCAGAAAGAATAAATCTATGAACCCATCCTTTTGGGTTTACTCTAAAATCAGTTTAAGGAGAATTCCACCTGTCCATTTTAGGCCATAAATAACACTCAGACAGATAAGACAGAGAGAGCTGATGGTTTCTTTAATGCTTCAGACTGTACATGATGTTCTCACTACAGAATACAGCTTTGAGTTTATCCTCTTTAAGATGCACAAAGTGACATCCGATGAACATTTAGTAATGAAAAAATAAATCTCAAGAAAATAACATCCATCTTTATCACTATTTTCTTAATCATATTTAACTGAGTAGTAAGTCACAATGGATAGAGTACAGTCAAGGTTCTTCATTGGTTCTTCCTGTTAAGAGATCAAAGATTGAAATGTGTTAGAAAAACTGCTTGGAATAAAATTAGAAGAAACAAATAAACTACAAAACTGACGCCAGTCAGACTGAGTGGACTGATATTCTCTTTTGAACACTAGAGCCTGTGTGGTTGAGTCCACCTTTTCAGAATATGTAAGGTGATACTGATTTACAAACAGCAAGGCAGAAATCAATGTTTCCATTCATTTGTATTACATAGCATATATTACATAATAATATAGAATAGCATTTATATTATTAGAAAATATTTTATAACAGATGACACTAAAATCCTGCTTTAGCTGTTATGCCAAAAATATCATACAATATTATAAATGTGTTTTAAATAATACCACATATTTTATATATTACGCATTTCAAAATCACAATGTGCAGCTGGAATATGTACCCATGGTAGGTGTTTCTAATAAAATGGCCATTGATTGTAGGTGCAAAGTAGGTGTACTTATTAACTGGTAACTTATTATACATTTTCTTGAGACTTTGATGAAAGAGTGAATAAAATACCAAATATTTCACTGGTTTTATTTTGAACAGCTTATTGTAATTTAAAGAACAGAACATCTGGGAAAGATAATGGATTTTCCTTGAAAGTATGCGCCAGGTTTGTGCGGAGCCCACTGGGGTACATCATGTGAAAACGAGATTTTTATTAAAAATTGCAATCATGTCATATAAACTGAAATGACTTACCTGAGAGAGGCCTTCTGTCTGGGGACTGTATACAGTCTTCATGTAATTGTCTGCCATTATCAGTTCAGTGACTGCCAGACCTAGAGTATATCAGTTGAGAGGTACTGTGATTGACAAAGAAGAGATAAATAGAAACTAGAATGCAGTCAGCTGCATAGCAAACTTCCAGAAAGGAATGATGCTTAGATTAAATTTAGTCTTTTAGAAGATATTTGAAAAGTCAGACTTGCCTTTATTTTGGAGCTTCTGTATGAGCAGATATAGTGCCAAAAGTAACACAGTCGCAATAAGCACAGCATGACAGACGACAATGCTGAGGACGTTTATAGACCCTCTGTCTATACAGTCTGTGAATTTACAGAAAAACACAATTATATGATGGTGGCTAAAGCTTATGTTGTATCAATAGTAAGTTCTAGAGGAATTTTAGAGCCTGAATCTACATGAAACGAGTGTGGTACTGACACTCAGCATGACATATTGTGAGTTCTCAGTAAAATAATCAACATATGTGAGCGCTGAGGCAAATTAATGCTGATTGGTTGCTACCTAATACCCGACCCCAGTCTCCAGCAATGACAATACACAGTACAAGAGTGCAATATTATGCCACACATATGACTCTGCCCTTAACTTTGGCCAATCCTTTTTTTTGATTAATTGAATTAACCAAGTACACCTCCTTGTTTTTATACTTATTGTCCATTTTATCAGCTCCACACTTAGTAACTAATTGTAGTTCTACAATTACAGACTGTAGTCCATCTGTTTCTCAGTATACTTTGTTAGCCCCCTTTTACTCTGTTCTTAAATGGTCAGGACCCCCACAGAGCAGATATTATAATTATTTGGTATTATTCTCAGCACTGCAGTGATACTGACAGTGACTGAGAAAAGCCCACCAACCAAAAATATCCAGCCAATAGCATCCTGTGACCACTGATGAAGGACGAGAGGATGACCAACACAAACTGTGCAGCAACAGATGAGCTACTGTCTAATAGAGTGGACAGTGTGTGGACACAGTGTTTAAAACTTCCGCCAAACTACTGTGCCTGATCCAATTGTACCAGTGCAAAACACATTAACATGTCAGTGTTACTGCAGTGCTAAGAATGATCCACCACCCAAACAGTACCTCCTCTGTGGTTCTGGGGGGTGCCAACAAATTGAAACAGTCTATAATTGTTACACTACAAAGTGAACCTAAGTAGTTTCGGACCTGATAAAATGGACAAAGAGTGTAGATATATGGATGGGTCAACAGAGCAGTGAACCATAAAGATATTACAATGTTTCATACTATACCTGTGTAACAACAGTAAATGGATGTATTGAGTTGTACTGTCCGGATGCTGATGGGATTGGCTGCCACACAGCTGTAGCTATTCCTATCACAGTGTTCAATATCCAGAGGTAACATGAGGGTACTGTTATCAGGATCACTGATGTTGGAGAGTAGTTGGCTGCCTCTGAACCAGGAGAGGGTCATTTTACCCACATTCCTCACAGAACACACCACAGAACATCTTGGATTTAATGCTGCAGATGTAATTGTGGGCATAGGTAATGTTCCTGGAAAACACAAGATGATAAACGGATAAGTACATTATAAAAGGATAGGTATATTCTTATTTCACTGCAGATATTGGTTGCATCTTGAAGCCATTATATCTCCAAAACTATGAAAAGAAGCTTAGGCATATATTTAGATCATTAACCCCACCCAGAACCAATCCTAGCCCAAAGCAGTAGTAAAATTTCATAGAATAGTCTGAAAGCAACAGCTATAGTGAAATGGCATTTAACAGCAGGTATTTAAGCATGCAGGGTTGCAACAGCAACCAGAAACACTGTACTGAGGTGTTTCACTTCTAGTTTTTTTTTTTTTTAATTCACTGCTACCAACATTCCGATACCAGCTGATGCTAATGTGACAAAAGCCGAGCGTACACCGCCGCTAATGAACAAACAACTCAAGCTAGCAATGAAGGAGGCTCTGCCCTCACAGAGAATAGTTACCAACCCGGTGACAGTTGGACACAAAGTCACTTTAAACTATTCCCCTTGGCAGATTCCCGCCATACATTCCCGTCTTGGAATAGTTATGGGGAGATTAGGGATGCAGTTTTACAGCCATTACGGTAATCAATAGACGGCGTTATTAGAAACACTATTATATAACCGTATTCAAATCAGTATCCTGAACAGTTATCTGACAGTTGGGCAACCGTCTGGGTCTGTTATCTAAGGTTTTCGTCTTTTTTTTACTAACTTTCCGTCGGGATCAATAAAGTCTCTATCTATCTATCTATCTATCTATCTATCTATCTATCATCTGCTTGACCGTTTCAACAACTTTTTTTCCCCAAACTGAGCGCGTTGCGCACAAAGAACGCCGTCAAATTCATCGCTGTGCTTTCAGACACATTTTCAGTGGGACACGCGACGGAAAACAGTCCGGCGCAGCAGATGCGCAGGGTCACGTAAAGTTCAAACGGTAACACGCCTGATCCGACTAGCAGCTCATTAACAGCCCAGTATTAAGTTAAAGCGACAGGAAAAACACTAAAATGTGCAGTTCAGCGGGCCTCCAGGATCTGGGTTCCATTCTGTGCGATTTCCCTTTTTTTTAGACAGAATAGAATAGAGATGCATGAATAGTTACTGTTTTTGCAAAACAGGCTGCAGAGAGACTGTATTGTCCTACTGTGTACATCACCACCTGGCTTTAGCTTCAGTGAATAGTATTAGCAGAGCTTATCTTTGCTCAGTACTAGTGTTATTTTGAATTGGAGCTCAATAAAAATACAAATCTTAAAAGAATGCAAATCTTAAAAGATCAACAAAAACAGGTCATTTCATGTCACTCACACTGTGCAGAGGTAGCAATTTGAATTTAAAATATTTTCACTTACTAATGATATAAATTTACATTATGATGAGCAGATCACACATTTTTTGTCCGATATGTGATTTGCTCATAATCCCATGAGATGACAGCAGTGCAAAGCCACACATTATCTACTATATCAAATAAGTCTATGATAACGAAAATGAAATAAACTATTAATAATTTAAATATTACACATTTTTTGTGCTCCCCAAATGTTTAACACAAGCTGGTGCCCATAAAAATGGATATATATTTTCTCCATATCCACCCAAAAATATAATGGTAATTTTTAGAATGAAGCTTTGCAACAGCCCTGCCAAGTCACGCAAAGTTATTAAACCTACTATTCTGCCTGCAACTTTGTCTTTGTCTCATTTAACTAGTTTAAACATGCTGCTAGAGAAGCTATGATATGTGCATGTCCATGTTGGTCACAGTAAAATGGATCAGCGTGTGAAATAGGAGTTTTATGTGTAGTTCTTTATCATTATATAAAAAAAGATGCTCCATGTTGCTTTAAGTCACTGCTTTACTAAAGGCATACTATTGTTTTATCAGAGTTACAGCCCCTGTTCTAAATGGCATAAATATATGCTTTTTTGTGTTGATCTTAAACTGTTAAGAGGGAACTGCATAATAAAATCATTAAGATGTAAACAAAGACATTCAGTCCACAGTGCTTAAATTCTCTAAACCACTGTTTCTCAACCCTGGTCCTGGAGGCCCACTGCCCTGCACTTCTTAGTGTTTTCCCTGCTCTTAACACACCTGATCCAACTAACCAGCTCATTAACAGCCAATTATTGAGTTAAAGTGGCTGTGTTAAGGCAGGGAAAGCACTAAAATGTGCAGGACAGTGGGCCTCCAGGACCAGGGTTGAGAAACACTGCTCTGAAAGCTACATTACATAAAGTTAATAGTTATTACAAGTTATATCTTGGCTGATGCCTGAGACATTGTTTACTATAATATTGTAAAGAGCTTTTGGCCTAAAACATACTTTTGAAATTCATTCATGAAAAAGAAAAAATATATCATTATCAACCTTACATATAAAAGCTCAGAAGACTGATCATTTTGGACAGTGAATAAAATGGCTGTATTTGTGTTGTAGACATTATGACCCCTGGTTCCTATCACCACCACTGTAAAGAAATGCTTCAAACCACCACTGAATTATGCAGAAATTTTGAAAAATTTGTGAAATTCCTCTTTAATCTAAACCTCAATGATACACTGTAGAGTGAGCAAACATGACATTAATTTGTATGTAGCAGTGGTTTTAGAATAATTGTAAATCTCACTGTAAGTGTCAAGAGACACTGTATCACTGTGTCAATGTCAGACTCTGTGGTGTTATTTTGACAAAATGAATGAATGAACAAAGTAGTACATTTGGGATGTAAAAAATTATGATATGCATGTTTTCAGGGAGAAAAAATGAGAAAATAGTGTTAAACAGGTTTTGTTATCTCAAAACAGAAATAAAATTTTCCTACCATACACAGTGACACTGAAATGCTTGTCTGAGACCTGTTCACTGATGAGCTGTTGTTTATAAACTCCAGAGTGTATAAAGCTGATGTCGCTGATGGTCAGAGATCCCGTCTGTTTGTCCAGATTCAGTCTGTTTGTGAATATCCCATTATAAAAACTGACAGTGCCACTGTTAACTAGTTGTGCTATACGAGTGTCTGTAGTTCCAAACGTCCACCGTATCATATCATCACTCTTTATTCCAGTCAGATTAGTCCTCAGAGTTACATTCACTCCCTCTGTAACTTCTACGGTCTCCACTTCATCTTTTACAGATGCTCTCACATCTGGAAAACACACAATCATTCAAGGAGCTGTGAAATAGGCAGAGTAATACACAACACACACAAAACAAATAATACATGTTAAAAAGACATTTATTCCTTATAATTATTGGAAATATTTAGTGATTAATTATCAACCCATTTCAGCCAAAAGAGATTGTCTTTAAAAACAAACTGCAGTTCCAGTATATCTATTTAGTGCTATACTGTTCTGCTGTATTCTTATTCTCATTCTTATTTCAATTGTGAACAGTTCTTAGAAGGAAATTGAAAGTGTAACATGTCTGTTTAAAATGTAAAGATAGTAATTTGAAGTGTTGAAGGAAAGAATGTTTTGCACAATAGATAATTTTTAATCAGCATATTCCTTGCATGATATATCCTCACAATTAATATTACTATATATACACACAATACTAATAATACGCTGGGGAAGGTTGTCCCCCTCCAGAAATGAAACATACATATATACTGATACATTACTGCCTGTAAACAACAGTCATTGATAATACAGCCTGTTATGTGTATGTATGCACGATACATCTTATTCCCAATATGCGTTTCTGCAATAATGGAAGAAGTGAATGTAGCATTAAACCCAACAAAGCACTTCCCTGCACTAGGCTTGAACCCTGCCCTCTCACATGGAGTGTGAATAACTTTCAATATTCAATATTGTTGATTAGCTGAAGCAGGTATTGGATGGTAACTGTAAATACAGGACTTTCCCGAGGAGAGCTTTGGAAATAGTTAAGCTAACACGTTTACATACATCAAATCACAATATATTGTTTACTTGTTTGTTTGTATTTATTCTGATGTTATGCTTGCTGCCCATATAAACAGCTTTACATACGGTGTTCTCAGATGCCTAATGCATTTACACAGTACTGTGTATGTGTAAGTACAAGGTTAGACTTACCACTAACGAAGATAAGAATTAAGAAAAGAGTGCAGTGAGTCATTTTAGCCTGTGACCTCAACAAAAAATACTTGAGTTTGAGTTATTATTCATCTTGTGGTAAGAGCCGTCTGTCCTGCTTCCAAACTTGCTGTTAAAATACGACCTCATATTCCGTAGATGTGAGTATGTATGTTCCTGAAGTTGTCTGTTACGTATAAATACAATATATATCACAGACCTCAAGGGGGACCCAGCCCACCCAGAGGAAGGAGGAGTTTCATATGTGTATTACTATTTTCTTCTAGCAATACAAACATGCACACCGTTGTTAAATCAGTTAACTTTTCAAACTGGTCTCAGTGACTGGCAGCGTTTCAAATGATGTACATATGATTTCAACTTTATTTATGGTATTTGATAGAAACATCGGTCTCACCATTGATTTTATGTGTGGCTTGTGGCTTCCACCATGGTATTAGATGTAGAGCTGCCCTCCTATACTGGTATACGTGACAACAACATCCATTTTTTCCTCTGAGGCTAAGGAATGTTACCAATTATCTTCTTAGTGCTCTGGTCTTTCTCAGTTCTGTTTTTGGCAGGTTACATCATTGTTCTTACTTATTTCATTAAGAGCTCCGGCTCATTAAGGTCTTAATAATTACATAAGTATCCAGATGCACCCTCTAATTAGTGAATTGAGCTACTTTAACATGCACTTATCATTCACACTGGTGTGAAATGTATACATACAAACATGTAATCACTGGAAATAGAATAAAATGTGGAAGTAGCCAAGCACATACCTGAGACCACCTTGCCCAAAGCCAAACATCAGCTAGAGGGGTATGAGGCTCGCCAGACTGTAGAGCAGTAGAACAAGGTACTTGGAGCACCATCAAATAGCTTTGGGATGAGTTGGAGTGGAGTTTGTGATCCAGAACTGATCATTCAATATCAGTACCTGACCTCACTGATGCTCTTGTGGCTGAATGCAATCAAATCCTCACAGAACTGTTCCAACACTGAAAATGCCTTCCCAGAAGAGGGTGCAGCAAAAGGGGGGACAAACTCTATATTAATAAACTTGATGATGATCAGATGTCTACAACAACTAGACATCTACAGAGTTGAATTAGATGCTGACTAAGCAGGAAAAACATTAAATAAGAGTTTGAGGCTATACAGCATATTGTAATAAGGGCAGTGTATCATCGCCATTAAATAAATAAATACATAAAGTCAGAAAGTGATACATTAACACAAAAGCTAGAAAGGACACAACTTGGAAATTGAAAGAACAAGAACAAATATAAATACATTACAGGCAGATTAACAGATTGAACACTAACAACTAACAATGCTATACAAGGAACCAGGTCGAGACAAGAACTATAACTACACAGACAGGTAACAAGTCATAGCTTGAAACAGTGATAACAGGGAGGGAATCTAATAAAGACAACTGTAGACTGTGGAGCAGTGAAACAATGTTCTAGAAGCACCATTGAATACCTTTGGAATGAGCTGGAATGGTGTTTGTTTACATCAATATCTGACCTATCTAATGCTCTTGTGACTGAATACAATCAAATCCTCACAGCAATGTTCCAAGAAGAGTAAATAGCAGTAACCAGGCATATATCTGACTACAGACCTACAAGAATTTACCTAGTGCTTTATATACTGTGGGTTTTTTTTTATATTGATCTCTTATTTTACGTTTTCCAGAATAAAATGAATATTGACTCTTAAAAGCATAAGAAATGTAACACCAACTAACGACCTGTCTTACAATGTATCTTTGAAATGAAGATAATTTGGTGAAGTTGTTTACAGGACTTGCCATTGCTCTGCACACTTTCTAATCTAACATCAGCACTTCACCCTATGCAGGGCATAGTAATTATCTGATGAGCTGAAGTGTTATCAAGTCTGAAGAACATGCAACTGTGGGAAGTGGGTCACCAATACATGACTCAGAAACCACTTAGTTACAGCATACCCAGATAGTCGATAAGAAAAATACTGCTAAAACTTCGGCCTGTGAGCTGTAACTTTTTCCTCTTGTTTTTGATGCGTGTCTGTATCTTGTCAATGCATTTATTGTGGTCTGAACAACAGGCTGGTATGTGCCTACAACATGGACTACAAGCACAAATAGTTCTACAGGAACTGGAACCACAAAACCTAGTTTGACATGTGTGTTTCAAACATATTTCCATTCAGCATAGCAAGCCACATTCAGTTTCTGTAACAGACCCTCATACATTCTGACCTATATAGAATAAACCACACTAGGCATCACTGAATCTGCAGAGAGCAGTGGCTTTTTAACCTGCATGTAGATATTTTTAACTTCCTGAAAAGAAAGGTCTTTATCTCTGGCTTTCACAAATACTCACAGAGCATTTCTTTCAAATGGCCCATGATTCCTAACTTTGGACCATGGACTGGTTGTTAGTGCTAGAAACTGCACAATGGTTTCTTCAGTTTACACCAGATGTTATGAAAAAAAAAAAAAATCCAGTGAACAGCAGTTCTTTATGCAGAAACGCTTTAATAAGGGGTCAGAGAATGATGGCTAGTATTGTTTGTGCTGACAGGAAGGCTACAGTAACTCAATAACCACTCTTTACAGCAATAGTGATTAGAGTAACATCTCTGAAGGTCACACCGAACCTTGAGGTGGATGGGCTACAACAGGAAGACCACATCTGGTTCCACTCCTGTCAGTCAAGTACAGGAATCTGAGGCTCTTCAAAATTGGACAGTGGAAGACTGGAAAAACATTGCATGTTGTAATGAAACTCAATTTCTGCTAAGACATGCAGATGGTAGGATCAGAATTTGACATAAAAAGAATGAATCCATTGAGCTGTCATGTCAAGAACTGAAGCTGCTGGTTGTAGTAATAATGGTGGGGAGAACGTTTCATCGGCCTGTGTATGTGTGTCTGTTAATAACTTAATTAACCTGTTAGGCCTTAACTGTCACATTAGGACTGGTTAGACAGGTCAAGAACTGTCACTAAGAATCATCAGCTGATGACAATTTTAGGGCATAATATGTTCTCAGACTATTCAAACCCTGCCACCAAAATGCACCATGAACCCTCTAAGCAGCTGGCTGAGGATATTATGCCGATAAAGCAGATAATGGCTATAAAAAGATATCAGTGCACTTTCAGCTCACAAATTCTACTGTCCAAAATGTCAATTTTGAAAAGTACTATGCTTTAGGGTTGTGTGGCAGCCAGAAGCACAGGAAATTACATTACATACATTAAAATCAACCTTGAACTACTTAAAAAAAATCAATAATCAGCAACAATAATATTTCTTAACTAAAAGCATTCTCCAAAAAAACAAAAAAAAACAAAACACAATGACTGATAGATGACTCCAAGAAATATTTCAGCCTATGATTTCAGGACAAAGGTAGTTTTACTTAGTACTGACTGAATGAACCCAATCTTATACACGTGCCACTTTTTATGTTTTATGACAAATTCAGCAAATAAATAATGGCCCATTGAAACTTGCATATATGCACTGATTGATTTCCAGTCAAATTAGAAATTAAGTACAAATTTAGGTTTTCATGAGTGAAAAGCTGCCATTCAGTATTATATAGACACAATGCAGTGCAGATGCAGAGCTGAGCCAGATGAAAGAAATGATAGATGGTTATATTATGTCTGCACCGAATCTGGCCTATTGGTGGTTACAGCAGTCCAAAATTTTCTATAATGCAGTATTTTATCCAGTATGGATGCTTTTGATCTGTTACATTTACTTTGCATTTCAAAATTCATGATTTGAATCACTTAGGTTAGGCAGATGCCTGCAGGAAGACTGTGAGCCTGTTCTAATTAAAATGCATCAGCCATGTGTCAGCGTGATGGGAACTATCCTGCATAAGAAAGCTGATAGACCTTAAAAACAGAGTAAGAAAAGTGTAAAAGGTGAACTCTGCTTTCATCAGTTTTTAACACTTGCTTCTGGTTGCCGACCACTTCCGTTTCATGTGACACAGGGGCTGTCGGCTTTTGCAAGTGTGAGTGAAGTGCACCAACCACAAACCCTGTATATTATGTGTAGCAAATGCTTGGTTAAACATTTACTGTCTGCATGATAAATATAAGAGCAGCTGGAGTAAGAACATGTTGGCCTTTGTCCTCTCAAAGGGGCGTCACTTCATTAAGATGGAGAAAGACATTGTAAACTCAATACGAATTAACTGAGCAAAATAAAAATAAATAGAGTTACATTTATTTAAAAAAGTAATGTAAAAATAAAGTGCTCACTCTACATTAGTTGGTTTCTGTTACCTTTGGTAAAGAGAAAGCTCCACTTCCTCCATTCTGTATCCTGCTGTTCATTTCTCAGTCTGCATCCGTTTATTCCTAGGGGTGTAATATACACACTTTCCCATTATCCAGAAATCAATGCATCTTAACTTGGATATCACATGCTTTTAGGTTCTAGAGTGAGAGCTAAAGAACACTATTGGTTCTACATAAAGATTTGTCCAAGGCAACTGAAGGATAAGAGATGTCGCTTTCCGTCCATCTTTCCTGTGCACTGTAATGCATTATTGCATTATGCATAAGCCATTTAGTCTTTGAGCAACTGACTACAATCACTGGACAGTGTTATAGATATTTTTATAGACATAATAACGATTCACTCTTGGAGGAACTGAGCTAATGGCTTTTTAATGCTTCTTCAGCTAGATCAAGGCCCAGTTCCTCATTTGAACTTCTAAATATTTCTATACACTTCTGTTTTTGTGGTTATGAGATGTATTATTAACTAACTTACACATTTTACAGTGGAACTAAGACATTTCATGAGGAGGAGAAAAACAACCTCAATACCCTTTTTTCAGCAAGCCAAACACTCCTCTGCTCTTCACCACATGAAGGCTGCCAGAGTTTCAGAGATGGAATCAAGGGGGTGTTGAAAAGTGAAGAAAAAAAGGACCTGATCCAGCTTTTTTGAGCAGCTCTGCATAACTATGTAGATAGAAGAGTAAGATGTTCACTTGCACATTGCAGAAATTATCATTAGCAGCCCAGTATTGAGTCAAAGTGGGTGTGTTTAAGCAGGAACAGCACTGAAATGTGCAGGACAGTGGGCCTCAAGGACTAGGGTTGAGAAACACTGAACTAGCTGAT